GCCACAATTCAACTGGAACAAGAAAATGAATTGACAATGAACCTAATAAAAGAAATTTGGTTCATAATATAAAAACATTGCTCTTCAAGTAGGCAAGCCCATCCTAAAGAAACCATAAAGTCGGCCAACATTGGCGGTTTATCGTACTTAATATAGACCACCGGCCTTGCTGGCAACAGTAACTGCATCATCTTCTGTAGTGAAACGATTCACCAAGGTATATTTTGTGACCTTTCTCCACATTCTAAACCGAGCGTCAACTGCCAGTCTGAGTCAACTGTGCTTCCATGTTAATTCTATGGAAGATCGATAGGATTTCAGAGAGAAAGAGGAAGATTAAACATCAAACCTTCCGAATAAACACGCGTTTATCTTTCTCGTTAGGCTGATAAGATAGAATCTGCATCTGCATTCTGTACTTCCTCGCTATGACTGTGGTCAAGGAAGTCGACTGATACGTATAGGAAGTCGAGAAAATCCAACTACTTGGATTTATTGCATCGAAGAGCAAGATGGTCAAACAATGGGGTTATGGTGTCCTCCCATGACAGCACATTAGTTTGATCGGAATGACAGGCGTTATACTATGTAAAGGCCCACTTAGTTTCATTGTTTGTCAGCCACCTTTAGCTCCAATTACACTGTCCTTTTTAATTGTAGCTGCATCAGTTGAATCACCTAACCTCATACTACAGCCTAATATTTTAGCACAACAGTATTTAACTAAGGACTTGCTATTTGTTAGCAAACTTTACATAGTGTAGACGACTAAATTGTGACGAAGGGGGCTCCAGTTGTGTGAGTATCGGAAAGTTAGCATTGCACAGTACAACAAGCTCAAACAAAAATGGTGAGTTTGAACGACACCAACAAATATTAGCTACCAATCTGAAGTCATTTAGAAACTCCATGCTGGCCCAAGTGGATTGATCAAGGAGGATGAAGAATGCAGTGATTCTGCATTCCACAAGGGTACCGATTGACACATCTTGCCTCTGAGTGTACTACTTGGTTTGGTAATCATGGCAACAATAATCCGACAACTCACAGGAAACCGTTTTACTCAACTGCGCACGGCAAGCTTATAGTGCATTTTAACATAGCAAGACCGATTACACGTCAATTCGCCACTTAACTCGGAATATCCATCATGCACTATTTTGGCAGGGAAGAGTACAATCAATGTGTTTTGTCTCGCTTAAACAAGACCGCATATTCTAGTCCATCTTCACCTGAAGGCCTGCGTAAGATCACGGGTGCCGAAGCATGCAAAAGCTCATCGCTGCCTGTGTGACTTTCAGCCGGATAGGGTGGAGGGAAAAGTATTAGATTTGTAGCTTTTCTCTACAAACGAACATTCTAATTTTAGCGATTACGTTTCTGATGTACCAAGTGTCCAAAAAATGAAACAGAATAGATATTTCAACTAACTTCTTGCTGCACTGATATTTCCACTAGATTTATTCGTATTGTGGAAGACGGCCAGATTAGTCCCTGTTTCTTATTGGATACCAGATCGACGCCATGTATAAACTACGTAGCAATTGCTAATATTAAAGTTCCATTGTCGTCGTCTATTCTGACTTTTCTTACTTGACACATAAGGCGTGAACTGGCGAATCACAAGTTGTCTAACCAAATGACCAATAATACCAAACGATTAGCCTCAAAAACCTTTAGTATAGATGTTGTGTGTTGAATAACCTAAGCCTCTGCTACATAGAATAGTTGGTTGAGTATGCTGAAAGCAGACGCCTGATAGTTCATGCATACGGAATAGTGTCCTAATTGGAAAGTGGTCAATAGTGACTCGGGGCCTTTCTGGCAAGGTAGTTCTCTTCTATACACCCTCGGTACTAGGGAGTTACAATTCACCAAATGCAGGCATTCTGCAACAGTCATATTAAGATTATTTGTAGAAATGCTGGTTCGCTGAATGAGTGTTATATCTTTCAATATTCAGCGAAATAGTGAAGCGCTTCAAATTACTTGACGTCGGATAGTCCACAACTGTAGCAAAAGAGCGCGCATAGTTTGGCGCTAGTCTGGTTGGACAATGCTTTTTCATTGAGTTCTAACTCGTGTATGGTTGTCGAACTTAGGTTTTGGTTTCCACAGCTTAAACTCGCGGTCATCTTGGAATGAAACAAGGTAATCTTCTTGTGTAGGTATACATTAGCTTTCAACACATCACAATTTTCACATGCTTATAATCGATTGCCAGATAATGACTGCCTAATATGATTAGTTGGATCCTGCTGCATCGGTAAAATGCATACTTACAAACTGCAAATTGGAGAAGAATTTCTCCCTACAACTTGGCTACACCAAGTCGGTATTGAGCAGCAAATATATGTGCCCTGGTTTAGCACGTTGAATAAAAACCTTGCTTTCCATTTGAAAATTTGCCGCTTTTGACGTCATCGCGGAGATATGTGTGATTTTTAATAATGGTCTGATGGCTACACTATCCGTGGATACGTGACTGGCACACCCCCGTAAGTCTTACGACGCACATACATCTTATTGTAGCAAGAAAGACACGGCAGTGAAACGTTCTTTAATGGCGTGATTACAAGCTATCACACCCCTCACGTGGGAGTGGGTTAGTGATTAACGTTTCCTCCCCACGACGCACCATGCTTCCTAGCTTCCGCTCGCGACACATCCAAGTACTTTCGGGACCTCGTGGTGGTATATTCCCTGCTCATTTCACCCCCGTGTTTCTGCTTCTACGCGTCCCATTCTGATCCTCCCAGAGTTATTTTTAGTTCTTGAGTTGCTTGACTGTGGATGTATCACTCTACTTGGGGTCGGTCCGGGAGGCTGAAATAACGGCGCTTTTGTCTGATTTATTGCGTTTTCGACGAATAACCTCTCTGTTCTTTGTGGCTCAGACTCTCTACCGGGCGCCGCTTTTGACCCATTCTCGTCTCTTTGCTTCACGCCAGAGTCTCTCCTGTCTTTCACCATTGCGCTTGTACTCGCTTCGGTCCGCCCCCGTTTTTGTGGTCATTCTGTCATCCAAGCAAACACTGCCTTCCGCCTCCCTACATTATCACTTAGTACATTGTTCATGATTAAAGTTTGGTAGTACAATTATAGAAAAAGCAGAAAATCCGGTTGGGCGGCAGCTTTAGCCTATGTGTCGAAGCAGTTGGTGAGGTATACAAGCGGGCAACAGCTGATTAGCTGCTGGTCTCGATCAAATACCGCACTTCCGTTACCATCACAAACTAAGCATTACGGCGAGGATATGAAAGCTGAGTCCTTAAATGCAACGCATTCTAGCATGCGGGGGTGCAGTTGAATTTAGGGCGGAGTTCAACGAACACAATCGGCACGATCGCCGAGTTTAGCACTGTTTTCAGTAGCTATTCACCAAGAGACGTGATTCTGTGGGCCTGCATCAGTACAGTTCTCCATAGATTCTGCGGCTTCGTTAAAACTCCAAAAGCAATGTCCTGGAATGTTCAGACGGTTGTATCGTCTTTAGTCGTTTACGAAGTTCGACGCGCAATTTTCCTTGAACCAGTACAATTTGAAGCCAGATAATTATGAAACTAAAAGGAATTTAAGCAATACAATTATTACTTTGACTTTGATTTGAGTCACAGTTTTGTATTTGACAGAAAATAATAGGAACCAGTGAGTGCAACCGAGGATTGCAGTGCAAAAGTCCAGTTAATGGAAATCATTCTTTTTACCGGGAGGCTTTTAATTACTCTTTAAACTGTTTGGTAGCGGTTGGAGACATGATAGTTATGTACATAGCGTCAGGCATTCAGGCATTTCAAACGGCAGAGTCCGAAACCTCCCGAATTGATGGTTTTTTCTGGAACACAGTTGACTACTTTAGAAACTGAAACGTACGTAGTATTCAGTATATCAACGATAGAATGTGTTTGGTTGATCTCAGTAAATTAACCAGTCTATCAAGGATATCCCGGTAACCTCCCAAACTCTAGATCATTTTTACCTTAAAACGTAATCAGAGTTAAATACTTTCAGAGCAACACAAGTTTTAGTGAAGGAAACACTCTTAATCTTCTGGTGTTCTGCTTGAATTTATTGACAGTAATTGATGAATTGCAAGCATTTTGCCTATCACACAAATCCGAAAAGGTTTTATGTAGGAGTCGATTGCCCACCAGTTAACTACAAGAAGGTCTCATAGTGGATCACGAAGGCAAGCCTTGCATTCTCCAGAATGAAGTATCTATGGCGTTGTCGGGATGTCAATTTCAGTCTAGAGGGTAGGGTGTACAGTGTCTTCGTTTGTGCGATCCTCTTATCCGGCTGTGTGACCCGGCCTACTCTCTCAAAATACATGAAAAGTTTGTCTGTGAAGTGGTGTTTGTGTGTGGTAACACCAAGTAAGCGAACAAAAGTCTGAGTCCAAGTGATCTGAGAGAAATACCCCTGTCTCTAAAAGGTTATTCTCCGACACCACATGCGTTGACTCGGCGAACCATTGCGTATGTTAGCATATATCTTCGCTGTCGAGCATTAGTTGCATTTCTCGGTGACGACTGGCAGGTGTTGCAGTGGACAATCAAGCAGATGAAGAAAAAGGATGTAGTACACTATTTCATGATTGGCAAGCATCAGACCGACCCGTCTTCTAGGCTAGGGACCACGTGGCAATGACTCCAGTAGTTGGAAACTTTGGATATTATGACCCGCAACATATTAATGATGTCAGCGTTATTTCTCCCCATCATAAAGTAGTTAGTGGATAATCAATCACATAAGGTTCAAAAACAATAAAATAACTCTAAATGACGTGTGCAAAACTCAAACAATTCGTTGTATTTTTTCATTTTGCGTGAATTTCTTTTCTGTTTCTGCCAGTTTAATGCTAGCGCAATTTCTGTAACCGAACTGTACATATATTTGTAAAATAACTTGGATATCTACTTCAACCGTTAGAAGCCTCAGCACAAATCTTTGACACTCCGACAGCCATCCGAACAGAGCCCGAATGATCAGGAAAAAGAATGATTTGTAAAGTATTATCACAAATACATTGCGAAGATTGTTACTGGTGGAGAGGGGCATCCGTCATCTGCACTCGAGCATTTGAATGTCAAAAAAGGCAATCAAACATGGCTCGCTTTGTCCGCCGGACAAAATATGACGACATAAACTAACTGCAAACAGACATTCAAAAGAACTGCCGTGCGATGTGAGAAAATTTCTACTGTTAGAATACAGTGCCAATTTACACAAGCACAGGGGAAGTTGCTTTATGATCTGCGAGCTGCCGTACCTATTACGGCGCCGTGCTTGTTATTATATTTGGTAGAAATCTGGATTTTTGGACACTTTAGTTCCTAAACCTGCCCTTAATCCATTGCTGTCTCAGCCAAACACATTGATCAGCTAGCAAGTAGCTAGTTATCGACAAGCTTTCTGGTACATTCACAGATGTGAAACGTAAATTTTAGTAAGAGGCTATCTTCTCTCACAAAATTGGTTAGTTCTTCCTTGTATTGCTGTTCAAATTATATCGCGGCGAAGGTTTGTGAAGTTGCAACTCAGCGAAAAGATAGCGGCGTGATGATTTTCGGAAGTAACCATTACGTTTCTCGTACAATGTTCCAGGGAGGATTGTTCCAGTGTTAGGATGTGTTTCGTAGGCTAAAGACACAAATCGCAGGGGCATAAGTGTAATTCGATAGCTTCCCTTTTAACTAGATCGAGTCATGCTTTGCGCGGCGCGTATTTGCGCCTACTTCCAGCTTACAGTATGCAGAATCAATACGCTTTCATGGGGTTCTAATGTCTATGGTGTTGCGTTTGAACACTTCACACTACTAGTTTCGCACTTTTTAAGTGCTCTAATGACTGCTTTAGCACTCCATTGATCTGTCGTAAGTCATTTGCATATAGAAGGTCTTCATTATTCCCCGGGATAACTTGTGTATGAAGTTTAAGTGCACTGAAATGCATGCATTAGAGTTAGGACTTGCTAGTAAGAGCTGTAACTGTAGCGCACACCTCCTTAAAAATCCTCCGTGATCCGGCTGACCAGATGGTTCGATAAGGCATCTGCAAGGTTCATCGATCATAGCCAGAAAAAGAGTAGCTTACACCAGTTGAAAACAGTGTTCGCTACTCTAGAATGATCATCTTGATTGTTGTGAATATCCAAAGTTCTTATGTGCGCAGAACCACAGACAACATCTTGATTGACCCCAGCCAAGCGTGTGTGCACTAAATCTAACGGGGTCACTCAAGTTCAAGCTATCGATCGTTTTGTGGAAGGATATAGCTGTATCGAGGCTGCCTACACATACACTTACTACTGAGCCAGTTAGCATAGAAAATGAAATGGTCTGATACAACTGCAAGCAAAAGGAATACCTTGTAATTATGGAACGCTCAGGCCATACCTAGGCTGGCTTTTGAATTCCGGTTTTACAAGGAAGTTTATGTAGATGGTTAGATATAATACGTTCGTTTCGCCTATGGGGTGAATGAAAATGTCTATAACGTGTTCAATAGGAAGGGTAAAATTGCTGAACTCTATGCCACGTCTACTGGCTCTTGGTAGCAAATATGGAATTAGCGTTTGTTTTCTGTGTGTACCCTGAGAAGGTCTTGTTGAGTGTGGCAGCGGCTTCCATTTTTAACTGTCTCCATGACCGAAGGAAAGAGCATAAATCCTGCGTTGACGTCATTGATCTACACTGTACCAGTCGTATTTTTCCGCCCACATAGTAAACACCAGATTGTTTAAGAGCAGAATTGTCTAGCTGCTAGGAATTATGAATTTTTCAGAATCGACTCATTCTGCGTTCGCCTACATATAGGCAGGTGGAGAGAAGGTAGTTTTTCTGGAGGCATGACAGCTGCCCGAGGTAGTAAACGTACTGTGCACCCTGAGATCAATAGGTCCCTTTTTTTGAGAAATTGGCCTGTACTTTATAACTGACAAGTATTAAGTTACTCATTTAGAACTAGTGAATCACATGTACCTGGAGTAAAAGGGCGATGATTGATCCGTAACTAGTTTACTGATGAAACCCCTTCTATAAAAGTAGCACGTCTCGTGAACCATTGAAAGAAGCAGTAAGACTTTGGAGACAGTTTGCTGCGACACTGATATCAACCGACTGGTTCTAATATTGGCATTTGCACCAAGAACGACTGTACGGGTCTGTAACACATTGAAAAGGCCTAGAAAGCAAATATGTGTTTGGTCATCGACTACTGCTTAGTGTTATCGGTGACCTGGCACAGTGGACCTCAAAAGTACACGCAACAGCGATTATGCTGTCGACAGCCATGTGTCTATGCACCCACCGTGTGTTCAACCTCCACATCAGTATTGACTTTATATCTCAAACGAAAAGGATCAAAACAAAGTATGTCACTCCCTACTACGTCAATTTACCTTTAGATTTGTTGCACGCTTTTGTTGTATCAGTAACTGTGGTCCGACCAACAGACTGTAAAGGAGTGAATCCGTCCACTGATTATGTGTAAGCGTCTTGTCGCATGTGTGACAAACTATGTTAGGTTTAGCCAGCGTCTCTAGTATCAACCGTGATTTAATTTCGACGAAATCTGATATGGTTGGTTGGTGAGCAGCATGATCTGCAACACTGTCTCATGTGGAGCTGGATAGAAACAGGCACATGAATAGTTTACTTCAGTTTAAACTTTCCGAGCTATTTCGCATGTGATTAGCAGGCCGTCGTTACAGTAACCGTTCTCGCAGCAATTTCCGCACGTGTTACTATTAAAAACAAGGGTCGCAAAGAGACAGCGGATACCGATTAGTCTGCTCAACATGAGAGTCCATCCTAACACGCCAAGATTGTTGACGTAATGACGCGGAAGTGTAATCAAGTGCCATTATCACACAAGCAAGCAGCGGTTAATATAGTTAATCCTATGGAATAAATAGCGCTGACTTTGGTTTCGAGACTTAACATGAGGTCTAAATTCAATAAATAACAGAGAGGAAAGCATTTATTTGCAGCACACTACATAAGGTATCTACGCTAGATATCTTAAGCTTGAGGGTTTAATAACCTGCGCGATTTATTCCTGTCCATCAGTTCGGTACTTACGTGAGAGGGTCTCACATCGCTAACTGATGATCTGGCACCGAGGGTACTAACTATCCTCCCAGTCACTTTCCAGT